GGCCGGGGAAGCGGCCCCGGGAAGCGGCCCCGGGAAGCGGCCCCGCTCCCCGCAGGCCCTGGGCTCTGGCTCCACAGCCCCCTTGTTCCCGGCTGTGCTCTGAGAGTGTTAAACCCGGCTGCCAGAAGCCGTTTCCTTGCCTGCTCGCAAAGGCCGTTCCAATCGGCTTCAGAAAGTTAATCAGAAACCCTCTGTTAGTCCCCGGGGCTTTCCCATCGCTTTGTGAATGTTTGTACCTTCCTGTTATTAAAAAAAAAAAGCCACACAGAACAAACACGAACGCGTTGTTTTGGGGAGGGAGGAAGAGCGATTAAATGCGCGGTTCTGCTCGATGGAGAGCTTGGATCTAAAAATACTAACTCAAGAGACTAAGAATTTTTGCTATTTTAACGATAGCTTGAAGTGACTTCGCTTCCTTCCTTGGGTAATAAACTCAAAAAAAACATTTCTAAGAATTGAAAAATCTGAAGAGACATTTTTGTCTTGGCACCTTTTCAGATTTGTCTGGATAAGTGATTGATGTTTAAAAGAAATCTGAGTATTTTCAGCACTGCATTCAAAGATTATTAAAGAGACCTATGTAAATGAAGATTTTCACTTACCCAATAGTTTTTGATTTCAAGACTGAGTAATTTTTTTGATCACATGTATAAATTGTGCAGAACTGTGTAATGCATGCCACAAGAACACCTTCTGTCAGTTATTTATAGCAATTCAGTTAAACTGAACTGTGACATTTACTGTTTTTGTATTGCAGAACATTCGCTGAAATCATCAAAGAATAAGGTAAAAGACACTAAACTGTAATAAAGCCTTATTTCAGAGACAGATACCAGGAAAGAACATGTGTATTTACTTTTTGAGGGTGAAGAAAGTAGAGGAATAAAATGCAGAGCAGACAGGCAGCGTTTTGGGTTCTATATGGTAGGTTTAGTCAAGGTTTCTCAAAAATAACCCCATGTCTATTTTTTTATTCTGTCTCTTTGAAAGAGTACCTGCTCTTTAGCAGCAAGTCAGACAAGTCTTTACACAGAACTTCTGTTCTTGGAGAGGGTCTGTTCTCCCTGTCACCACAATCTCTGGCTGCTTTCGTAGAAACCAGCAGTGTGATAAACAGTTAAATGCAGTGTATACTACAGTCTTGAGTTGTTGAAGAGAGTGTAATGCAAGTTTGCAGGTAGACATTTAACCGAGAAGCTCATTCCAAGTGTTCTGTAGCAGTTAAGACATAAGCTAACACTTCAAACCCTCAAATTTATATATCTGGAACAAAACTTTTCCCCTTTAGACAGTGAGGTGACTGCATTCTCCCTTTTTCAAGCAGATCACCACAGGGTGATGTTGAGAGAGAATTATTAACTGCCACAAGCATCTTTGTTGCAGTAGAGCACTGCAACAGAGTATGGGTAGGTCTTTCAGCATCTCTTAGTTAAATGATTATATAAAATACATTAATGTTCGGTTTTAAAAGAGTTTTGCTTTACTGAAATGAAGCTGCTTAGGTGTTAGCATGAATTGTATTAAAGTATGCTTTGTGACCACAGACATTTAGAAGATGAAGTTAAATCAATGTGAAGTGATTGTAGGTGAGTAGTATATAGTTACATCAGTAGTGTTTGCCCTTCACTCTAGAAGGCTGCAGGACAGCAGGATTTGACATTAAGTTTCACCCCAGCACTGAAATCTCAGCATTGTTAGGTCGCTGTCTCCTCATTCTGAAGCACTATTTCCTTACTGAAGTTTTATCACTTTTGATCCTCAGTAGCTGCCTTTGTTTCAATTGCACTAGGAAGAGCATGTTTCAGTTCAGCACTTCAAAGCAAAGGAGAAGCAGCTCCTCTGTAAACGTGGCTGCTTGCAATCTCACAGAGTTACAAATGATGCTTTTATGTAATGATTTCCAATCTTTTATATGCTATTTGAACCCACTTATTGCAACTAATAATTGGCTGTTCTTTTATAAGGAATACATATGTGGCAGGTTTGCAAAGGCTGGGAAATAAGAATAAAGTAGATGATCAATTTCTGCATTCCTCGTGAGCTTTTGTTACTTGTAACATGAGTTACTGTGTTAACTTCCTAGGTTTTAAGAAATGCTGTACACATTGAGGAAGTTGAAGTGGAAAAGTGTGTCAGAGATGTAATGAAAGAAAAGAAAATTGATCAGAAGGATACAGGGTATGTTTGGAACCTGAGCTTTGTAGCAGATAATTGACTTTTTGGCACATACCAGATCAAGCAACTGCAAGAACAATACTTAGGCCATTCAGCACAAATCTTTAGAAATAAATTAGAAAATAAGGTATGGTTGTACTCTCTTTAGTTCTAGAAAATAACTTGCAATGTTTTGACATTAAATTGGGATAACTGCATTTCTGTCTTGCAGATCGCTTCTATTACTCCATGTGTCTAAGTAATATGATTATTGCAGAGGTCAATTACATGAAGTATGCAATTGTTTATATATATTTGAGAGAGTATAGTGTTGCCTCTGAGATATTTGCATTCATCTGCCTAAGTAATTATGAGCAATTGAGACGAAAAATTGTGAATAGTCAAAATTTTAACCTTAGTCAAATGCTGCTTTGAACATGTAAGTACTGCTGACCAAGTTTCCCTTTAAGACTTAGTAAAAGTTTGGCAGGAGGTGAAGGTTCAGGGGTCAAGATGATAGATGGAGTGTTCTTGTGTCATCATAGATTCTAGCTCAATTATTTTTTTCTTCCATGATTTAAATTAATACAGCCTGACTGTGCAGCACTGAAATTGGCTGGAGTTTTTTAAATTAGAACTAAGAGTATACTTAACCAATGTGCTGTAGTTTGAAAGATAAACATAAACCACTTCCTAATTCTAGTGTTTTCTTTGCGTTAACATAAGAAAGGTCTTATCTGGTAGTTCAAGCAAGGATATATGCCTAAGTACAACTCCTAATAGCTTCTGTGTGGTGTTTTGTTACTGTTTCAGGTTTAAGACAAATCTGCATATATCCTTACTGCAAATATCAGGTTACAAAAAACTTTACTTGAACGTGGAAAATCTGAGGAAGGTCCCGTATGATTCGGATAATGAAGAACATGAGGAACAGTTAATTGAGGTGAAAATAATATTTTAAATACAAAAGCAGTTTGTTTTTTCCCCTCCAGTCCAACAGCTTGAATTTATTTATTGGTAGTATTCCTACCAGCTGGCCTATTTAAAGCTCCCTTCCACTTCTGAACTGCTAAGCCATTACAGAAGTGACACATTGGAATACAACATCAAAGCAAACCAAATTAGTCAACTACAGTTACTTGCAGTGGGATTATTTTGTGTGAAATGAGGCATAACAGCAACACAGAAGTAGCAAACTAAAGTGGTAAGGGGTCACTGAAGGATTGTAACTAAAAAGATACTTAACCTTATGTAAACCAGTATTTACTAAATAAGAGACACTAGTGTTTTCTTATTACTGCATCCTAGTCAATGTCAAAGAGGATATTTTAATGCTGGAAGTTGAAAACTATCAGTAATGTGTTTTAGGTAACAATAAATAATAGCAAGCAAATAATACAATACTGTTTGAAGGCTTTTTAAAATAGCTCCTATTGTGCAAATATATTACCATGTCATTTTCTTAGCATTTCGTAACTATCTCCACTTGCTGTGCATGTCCCAAGACTGAGATGTAAAGTAAGCATTTGTTGAGCATATGTATTTTGGTTTATTTTTGCTGTCCTATTAGACAATGATACATAAATTAATTTCTGAAGTGAAACGAGTCTTTGTTTCTTCAGTATTAATACAGTGGCTTTGTCTCTGAAGGGCAATTACTGCATTGAATGTTAAATGTAATAATTTTCGTAATTGCTGAAAACAGCCATTGTGGTATGACTGCAGATTGCCATTAATGAAAAGAACAGCATGTAGATTGTATCCTCTTCCTTGGTGAATGGTTTCTGATGTGCAGCAGCAAGTGTTCTGAATTATGTGACTTGGGATACTTTAGCAGCTGTGCATAACATGGAAGCATATTTGTGCAGCTTTGGAATTTGCTGATGCCTCATGAGAATCTGAAGGCCAGAATCACAAAGCAGTGGTGTGACATTGGCTTCCAAGGTGATGATCCCAAAACAGACTTCAGAGGAATGGGCCTGCTGGGGTTAGTGAACCTGCTGTAAGTAAAAAAATGTATTTAATTTCTCTTGTAATTAATTTTCAATATCTATGTCTTTTCTCTAGTTAGTGCTATTTCTAATAAAGACCAAAAAGAAATGGTAGCTTCTGTACAGCAGAACCCAGCATTTTTAAAATAAGTCAACATTTCTAGCAGCTGCACATCCATAATCATGTGATTGGGTAGAGGCCAACAAGTGAGGGGAGTAACAGAAAGTTGCCTAAGACATGTTATCTTTCTGTTGTATGATAGATTTGATAGGTTATAACTTAGAAAGTAACTTGTCAAAGCATATATTTCCTGAATTAATTACTGTAGTGAAAAATAAACAGGTATATATAACTTTGCTAAGGTAATTTGTGGACTTGGGTGAACTTCCTCTTGGATGTTCAGATCACAATGATTTTTTTTTTCACTTTGTTATTTCATGCTGAATCGAGTTTATTTAGCTACCTTTTCCTTGCTTTGCATTTTGTGCCATTTTTCAGTACAGTGTAGTATTCAGCTTTAGTTTAAAGCTACACATTTTGATGTTGAACACATGAATGTTTTTTATGAACTTCAAAACATTAATGGAAGATCCCATTTTACACTGACAGGTATTTTAGTAAGCATTACACCAATGAAGCTCGTCAGATCCTTTCTCATTCAAATCACCCAAAGCTGGGGTAAGTCACTACTGGACTTTTTCTGGCTTGTTCTGTGCAAGAGCTCATATGAAGACTGCCAAGCAATTGTCCTGAAAATATTTATGGGGTTTTTGCCATTAAAGGATGAAAAAAATGGCCAAGGTAGAAAGGCATGAGAAACTGAACACAGAAACCAATTTCACTAAAGCAGGATCCCCTAGAGCATATTAGTCAGGACTGCATCCAGTTGTGTCATTAATATCCCCAGAAAAGGGGACTCCACAACCTCCCTAGGCAGCCAGTGCCTTGTCACCCTCCCCAAAAAGAAGTTTTTCCTCCTGTTTTCCAGAATAAACTGGTTGGGAAAAAAAATGCAGAATGAAGGCACTTGCTATACTATTTTATAGGAAACCAGGGGTTTTAAGTAACTTTTACAGGGCTG